TTTGTTTTGTTGATGGTTTCATTTGCTGTGCAGAAGCTTTTTAGTTTCATGCAGTCCCATTCATTTATTTTTGCTTTTACTTCCCTTGCCTTTGAAACCCAGCTGCAGAAACTCTATTCATTGTTCCCTTCATACCAATCCCCCATATTATGATGCAGTTATCTGGGAAGAGACTCTCCAGTGTTGGAATAACAATTCAATACATTCAGGGTTAAGGAGCTCTATAAATTCCTCACTGCAGCGCCAACTTATTTAGTGGCAAGAACACTATTGAAAATAGAAAACCAAACAAAGAAGGCCCCGCTGGGATTCGAACCCAGGATCTCCTGTTTACTAGACAGGCGCTTTGACCGGCTAAGCCACAGGGCCCCTATTTGGGTGAATGTTCAGTTATATCATATTTGCAACTTTTTCTGTGAAATGTAGCAGAAAATTTACCAGAATTTTGATTTTGTGGCAAAAAAAGAACACACCTGTGTTCCTGAACTCGTTCTAAAGCAGAAAGTTCAATATTTTTAAAAATGCATTCTTCAATTCAAATTTTTAAAAAATGACTTTAATTTGAAATGAAATTCCTATTTCATGGTGAATGTCGCCCTCTAGAGGAAATACTGGATATTGCAACACAGTTTAAATTTGTTTCTTTGCTAATTAGGTAAATCTGTCCACAAATGTTGAGTCACTACTATATTTCAGGTACTTTCCTAGGTATTGGAGATAGAACAGCGAACAAAACAGATAAAAACTTCTATAGAATCTTTATTTTAGATCGAGGTAAAGAAAGCAAGTTTTAAAATTGTGTCCTCGACCCCCAAGCAAACAAGGGATGTAAGAATCAATTCTGCTATCGCCAGATGACAGGGTGCTACCTTCTGAGCTAATTCACAGCACGTGAACAAGACTACTGTGCTCCTTCTATTTCATCTAAGCTGGCACAAGAAAGCAAGCAAAGTTGAGGACACATGATGCAGGGGAGACATGCAGCCACCTCGCCCAAAACAGGTGCCATCAGGCC